TCAATAGAAGATCATAAAAAATGCAATTAAAATTCATAATGATATTTAATTACAAAATTAAATAACTGAAAAATTGCAAAATGATAAAACATATAAAATTCATAAAACATAATTTTTTCTCAATCACATTATTTCTAGAAATAAGAATTTAAATCGTTACGAAAGGAATTAATTCCATTAAAGATGTCACTCTGACATATAAACACATCACATCAACACGGATTCGATGAGTTCGTAGACCGAAGGATCTACGACGCGGAGAAACAGGGACTAAGGCAAACGGCTCGCAGACTCTGCGGCAAACAATTCCAATTAACTCAGCGGAATTGGAATAGGGCTCTCGACCGTCTCCTAAATGCAAGGATGTCGAGGGCGACGTAACGCGTTCCTCGTCTTTCCTCACTCTTTCGCCTTTTCATCTCATTCCTCGTCTAGAAATTATCTGTCCATCCAGAAAGTTTGCGAAAACGCACTCGAATTAGAGATTACGTTTGACGATGCGAGAAAGAAAAATGAAAAAATTTGAGAAGAAATCTTTCAATTTTTTCATTTTTATTTATATTTCAATTGGGAAATTTATCGAAAGAAAAGAATTCAGAGATCGTGCTTTTGAAAACATATAATATGTTGTCAAAATCTCTTTTTATTTTTTTCATTATAGATTTATGTTTTTCTAAATCTTTCATGATTTTATTTCTTAAGAATAATGATCAAACTGGAACATATTTATATATTTCAATATATAATTTCATTTATATAATATATATTTCATTTATATAATTTTATATAAAGAAGTATGAAGTTTCCTATGGAGGGAATATCCTAATACAAGAATTTTTATTACAAAAATTTATTCCGTTTTTCAAAATAATGATATCCTTAACGAGAAAACAAATATAAGCAATAGAAATTTACTTAGATGAAATAAACATAAATACAGAGAAAATCTCTGTATAAATACAGAGATGAATAAATATAATGAATAATATAACAGAGATAGAGTCACCTCGTTTAACAAACTTTATTTATAACTGAATAAATAAACTTCAATTGACATTACCATTTTTTATATTTATTAGAATAAATTCTCCAAAAATTCTGAAAATATATTAACTTCCTATAATAAATAATATCTTATTTGAAATATATAAAAATTTTTCTTTTATGATTAATTTTAATACAAAACTATATAAGCATAAAAATAAGCAATGAACAAATATCCTTTATAAAAGAAACGGTTATATATGAAATTATGACCATTAAAATGCATAAATAACAAAAAAAAGTTTTGCAACAATCTTATATATTCACGTGGCTAACGTCAACATAATTCCTCGATCTTTGTCCATATCTTTCTATATGTTTCGGCTGGATGGATGAAAGGCGGAGTCGATATGGTTGTATCCGGAGAGGCATAATTCAATCAAGATCTAGAAAGGGGGATGTTTGTCAAGTATGCTTTCTTTGCACGTGCACCGGGTGAATGGCGACCCGTTGGACCATTATCCGCCGCATAATGCTCGTCATTGTCTCGTAATCGTTGACCAGGGATAGAGAAGTAAAGACAGAGAGAGAGAGTCATAAAGCACTCTCAGGGGTTGGGCCGTCGCCCTAGACAATGTGGTTCTTGAGCTGCTCAGATATTGAAGACGCCCGAAAGCGGTGTGTACCAATCCCGGTGTGTACCTAACGTCTAGCCCGCTACTCTACATTATTAAATCTCATCCGTGTGGACCAGGCACACAGGACGATGCCGTTCTTTCCACGGTTACCGTTGACATCTCGCGACGTGCGTCGAATTTTCAACGAGAACTGATCAGTCCAGCCGACGCATACAGCGGTTCGAATCTAAAACAAAATCTCATTTTTCTGAAATCACATATTTCAATTTTTACATAAAATTGAAAATCAATAATTATATAATAATAGTATAGTGTAATTAACGTAATATATTATATATAATGACTTTATTGTTAGAAAATTTTCATAATAATATTTTAAGTTCTTAAGAAAGAAGTTCTTGAAAAAAAATTTTTTTATTTAAATAGAACTTACATGAAAATAAAAATTTCTTATATAAAAAATTTATTCTATTACATTGTTCATCAATATTAAAAAAATTATTATATTAACAAATATTATTCAGTGAATAGTATTATAATAATATTTAATATGTATCTTTTATTTTATATATTAATAATATACATTGTTAAATATAATAATTTGAAAATTTTATTTGGAATTCTTATGAAATCTTTTCTAATAAACATTCAAAAATAATATTTTACATCTGATAACAATGAAAATTTTTTGGAACTTTTTTAACTAAATTTCAAAGTTATTCTATAAAAACATTTCTTTAAAAGTTGTTAAAAACCATTTTTTTTAGAAAAAATTTCACAAGAATAGAAATTATATTCTCTTAAACAAAAAATATAAAAAATAAAATATATAAATTTGAACAAAATTTTTTTAAAAACAAAAGAAAACTATTAAAAAAGAAAATTAATGGAAATTTATTATAATTATTCGTAGATATTTCATTAAAGTAGAAATTATATCTTCCTTCTATAGTCCATGTATAGCAAATGAATATTCCGTTCTATATTACTTAAAATGATATCTAAATATATCTAATTCAAATAAAATTTGTTCATGTTGTTCATGAATTGTTAAAAATATGTAACACGTTAATATAATATAATGACACAAAGCATAAAATGTTAAAATCTTTTTCATGTCTCAGATTTACTATAAATATACTATAAATATTTATTAAGATAAAATTTGTATTTATAATAACAGATTTATAAATAATAACAAATATTTTTTATTCTATATTATTTTAAAAAACGGATAAATTATTATTTGAATGCAATTTATTCATGCTCATATATCATGAAATACATAATTTTGGAACATTTTTACCAGGATCTAAAAATAACAAAATTATATAATATGTTATATCTTATATCTGAATTATTTTCAATTAGACATTTAAATATTAATAATATATTTTTAATTTTTTAAATATGTTATATGAGAAAAATAAGATTTTTTTCGTTAGATTAGTAATTCGAATCACTGTATAACGTGGCATCTTATCGCTTATCATTGCGAATATTAGTTAACAAGTTAGCGGCATAAAAGTTTTAAGGGTTTTATATCTTGCAGGACAGTGGTAGGAATCGCAGCGATAATCGATGATTACTTGGAAAATGGTGGATCACGTTAGAATAAACACTTCTCTCGAATGCAAGCACGTGAATATTATTTCTTTTTTTTTTTTATTACACAATTTCCCACCCTGTATTCGAATTAACAGTAATAATAAGCGAGAACATCTGCGTATATCATTCTTGATTGATTAGATGCTTATTCTTAAGATTAGATGTTATTCTATTTTATATTAATTTTTTTTTTGTTCACATAAAAGTTTGTGACTTATAATTAAAATATCTTTGTAGAAGTTAGTTTTTGAGATTAAAACAAAATCTATTGATATACAATTATCTTTCCAGGAAAGATAATTGTTTTCTTTCAAAAAATTAGTATAATAAGATTATTATTCGATTTTAAGAAGTCGAAGTACTTCCTGTAAAACTGTTATCAATATGGAAAATAATTCTAGAAAATAATTCTCGTGTAATCTTGAACAATTTTACATTTTAATGAAATTATTTCAAACAAATTTCATATTTTTCCTTAAATTATATTTTTTTATATTTTTACAGAATAGTATAGAATAACAGAATAGTTTTAAAGTTATACTTCATAAATTATTTCCATTATAAAGAATTCCTTATAATTTATATGATATAAAAAAATTAGATTTTATGAAATAGTTTTTAATTATAAAAATTACTTATTTATTCTAAGTTTCTGCAAAATATTATTTAAGAACTTTTTATAAATAAAATTTCTTTTCTTTACTGAAAAGAAAGAGTTTTAATTGATCACAATTTTTGAAGTGATGAACAAAACAAAACAAAGTTTTAAAACAATATTGTATTCTAATGTCCTACTTACATTTTCTTATTCTTGAGAATATGTTTATGATTAAGATATAAATAATTCACATTTTTCAAATGTTTGGAATTATTAAATGTAATATATAATTTAATAATTGCTTAAAACATAAATCAATCTTTATTTTTAAATGGGTCAAAACCATGTTGTCAATGATCGAAAATAATAAGACAGAAAACTGATTTTAAGTAACAATACGTAAACTAAGTAACAATAAGAAAAATCCAATTAGTCAGTAAGAATTACATATATGTATTTCATTTCTCATTTACGATGAGCATAATACTACCTGTTTCACGCAGAGCCACGTATAATTACAGACTAATTCCAGAGCGTCCGCAATCGTGGCAGGTGGCACATAATCGCGGCCTCGTAACCCTCGAATGAGTTAATCCGTGAGACGTCGCGCCGTTTCACGCGACAACGATGACGACGACGACGATGGCTGCAACCAGTGTCATCTCGTCGTTCTCCTCGTCGTTGTAGACGTCGACAATGTCTACGTGGTTGTCGTCGCCAACGCCGGTGAAATCGTCAAGCAAGAGAGGCGACATTTAAAAGTAGCTATATAGGATTGATCCGCTTACCGGGTTTAAAAGTCAAGTGCTAAAAGCGCAATTCATCCCATCTAACCGGCCAAGAGTGGGAGAGGAAATCGGCCGTAGAAGTTTCTAGGAAGACGATAGAGGAAAGATAGTTGGTTGCTCGGCACAGGTGTCTACGTCCGTCGTTCCGACCATTTTGTTCAACGATTCATTTTATTTCCAGACGCGAGAGAAGTATCGTTCGTTTCTCGTATGAAAGTCTCTACCTTCGTTTTTTCTCTTTTTAGGTCTCTTCTCTCACTCATTTTCACGCTTTTCCCCTCTTTCTCCCTCTTTGTCTCGCACGTATGTTCGTTTCGCTGGGCCTGTCTCGCGTTCTCGTTTCTGGTTCCTGAGTTTCTATTTTTCTGCCTCTTCCAAGATTGGAGGGTCGACGAAGCGGAAACAAGGGGTGACTGCGTCCTTTCTCTTCTGCACTGGAAGTTTTTCTTCTTTTTTCCCCTTCTTTCTGTTTGCACGACGCTCGAGTGGCACCGTTTACCAGCGCAGCTTTCGAGATATACGTGGTAAATAGGTATTATTGCGACGGTCGTCGGTATGATAAGCTATGAAATTTCGGAAGCCAGAATTGGCTCTTTGAGAAACCCTCGCGCACGTTGTTTGGATTGAGTTTTGTTTGTAGATAACGTTTGTCATATTTTGTGCTGTTTAAATGTGCATTACGTGACTATTTTTACGTGATTACTTTTCCCTCTTGTAATTTGAATAATGAATGATCGGTATGTTTAACGATAAAAGTCGTAAAACGTAAAAATGGATTTCAGAATTTTTATATAAAAACACATTTATTTTCATTAATTGTATGAATATTATATAATATTTTTTTTGTCTATGATATATTCAAATAAATGTTAGAATTGAATTACCGAATTATCGAAAAATAAAACAAGCCAAAAATAATCAATTTTCAAAATTTTTGCATTTCAATATAAATAATACATAATAAATAAAAAGAAAATATTGCAAAATTAAAATTTGTTTAATTGATTGTTTCAGTTACTATATAGAGAGAGAATTTATAGAATTTTATATTATTGATCATATTATTCAAATCAATGGTTCAATTTCGTTAATGGTCATTTAAATAAATATCACTATTTCTCTAATAATAACTTATTGATACATTGTCAAATATAATATGTTAGAATAATACAATTTGTATTAAATAATTCAAATAACAGAGAAAATTATTATATTTTTTTACAAATATACTTATTTATCACAATTATTTATTTAATTTCATGTTATAAAATAAAGAAATTATAATTCACATAAAATTTATCAACAAGTAAAGAATATTATTTTTCCGATAATAATTTATCTTATTTATCTTATATATTATATTTTTATATATTTTTAAATATTTGATATTATTGCATTGGATATATTAAAAATATATATTGATATATTATATAAAATTTTTTATAATAGTTATAGTATATTTCTTATAAATCTATATTAATTAATTCGTTTTACAATTTCGAGAAAAAGCGATTAAAGAAAATAGTGAACAATTTGTATTTCCTATCGCGATATCGAGGAATAATGTACACGATGTGGATAGGCTATCATTCCATTCGTAAACTCCTCCTCTAGTGACTTATCAGGTTCGAGATGTTATATACATTTATACGATCAACCATAATAAAAATCTTTCTACTATCATGAAATGGTCGTATATCGATTAATAAAGCAATTCTTAGATAAATTTACTAAAATTCTAATTAAAATCAATCAGACAAGTTTGATAGATGTTTCCGCGAATTGGGCGGCGCGATCTTGCACGAATAACGATAAACATTATTGATAAGAATATGTACATTATTTACAAAGATATTCTGCAAAATCTTTGTCAAAATGATCGATTGTATGATTGTACTATGAAATGATATGAAATTTGATGTTTGATTTAAAATTAATTAATTATTTTTATTATTAGATATAATAAATATATATGATATGCAAATTCTTTTTATAATTATTGTATTATAATAATGATTTTATAATAGATAATAATTTTTGTGATTATTGAAAAAATTACTGATGAATTTGATGAAGAAGAATGAAGACGAATATAAAAAAGAAGGAATTGTGATGAAAAATGAATTATTTATTTTGACATTTGTTATAAAAATATAAAAAGAAGAAAAATTGTATTTTGAAATCTTTTTAAATGTAATTGAATTGATTTAAATAAAAATTATCTATACATTTA